ATCCTCGACTCGGCGGGTGCACGGGTCCCCTCCTCACCTCTCCCCAGACCTGGACCCAGGACCCGTGCGCCCGCTGAGTCGAGGATAGGCAAACCCACCCGCACCTGCGTCTTCTCTGAATCACCCGGTATACTACATCACTGCGTCTAAAGAAAACGCCCTCTAATCTCGAAAACGATGGTGGTGAGAAAAAAAATTCCACCACCAAAAAATGACGTATTACAGAAGATGCAAATGTGGGGACTGGTCGCTGGCTCACCGAGGTATGCGGTGACGAACCGGCTCCGCTCGTTGGGTGGGATCCACTTGGCGGTCATGTCGTGCATGGCAGGCCACGTCAAGCCCTGGCGGAACACACAGTATCAGTCTCCGCTCTCTGCCGCCAGGACGCCGTCAGGACGCCGTCAGGTGTACTCACGGAGATGCAGCCCTGCGCCAGGCGGATGAAGAGCAGCGCGCCGTAGTGCGTCCGGGCGGCGGCCGGGATGGCGAAGGCCAGCAGGGCCGGCACCAGGTTGCCCAGGCCGAACACGAGCTTGGTGCCGTAGCGCTGCGCCAGCACCCCGCCCGGCACCTGCGTGGACCAGTACAGCCAGAAGAAGGCCCCCAGCACCATGCCCTGCTCGTGCTCGTTCCAGTCGAAGCGCTGCGGTGCCTCCAGGCGAGCCTCCAGGTGCATCCCGGACGGCTCGTCCGCCTGCGGCTGGTCCATCAGCGCCTGCTGCGGACCGAGGAGACAACATGGTTGGAGACCATCGCCGCCAGAAACGGAGCGACAGCGAAATTTGGGTGATATCGCAACGATATCGTTTGGACATCGCGTGTCAATGTCTTGCCCGCCACATTTTTGCCACCACTGATGGCGACACGAAAAGCGACACAAAGTCGGCAGCGATATCTAAACGATATCGCCGGTCCACGCGGTGCATGGCGCATCCGCGTAGGCCGGCGTGTCCGTGTGCACTCACGTCCTCCTCGGTGGCGGACTCGTTGAGGAACAGCGCGAGGGCGGGCGACAGGCTCGGAGCGATGCACTGCGTGCCCGCGGGCTCCGGCTGCGAGCCGTTCAGGAGGACGTCAGCGGACAGTCTGCGGACCGGGGGTAACACCATGGCGACCAGGGCGATGTTCATGTTGATCCGGACCATGTAGTTGACGGCAAAGCCGACGAACACCATGATCCACAGCACCTGGCGGGTGGACAGCCATCCTGAAAACAGCGAAGAAACGCTTGTTAAATTAGATCATCATTATTGAAGCATGCTGATAATTATTAAGTTGTGCGACCAACGTTATTGTCAGAGACGAGAAAGAGTCGTATTGGACAACTGCCCTCGCTGGCGCTAGGAGCTAGCGACGGCCGTCTAAAGACATTGTACCTATGTTTCGATTCCCCATTTGGTTCGAACGTTGTCTTGCCTCGTGATTCTCGTTCCCATGTTGCTCATGAGACCGACCGTCCCACATGTCCCCTCCAAAGTCGTTTTCACCATGACGAGCATTGGAATAATCTGATTAATAAGCCACGCGCTGGAGTCCTTGTGTACATGTGGGTGCTGTACAGCGTGGACCGAACCGTGAACACACTAGCACCGGTCGGATCGCCTTACACCTCGGCTAGGCGGCTTATTTTTGCGCACTCTCCCTTCCCTTTCTAACTTTTATGCGTTGACATATACATGCCAGGTACACTGTTGAAAACTCTGGACTCATAAACAGAGTCCGTACGTACAAACACTTGACCGTGCTTGGAAAGAATCCTCTTCCAACAACTGTTTACAAAATGACCAGGCCATTCTATGGTGATCTAGTGTTGTAATTTTTAACAGTGTGGCCGATTCACACTGCACACTTTTTTACTATGCAATCGGTTGTGGCGGGAGTAACTCGCGGGCCGCGGGTCCTTGTGGTTCCGCGGGGGTAACTACACTACACTAAACCCGGATCCAAGTCGGATCCCTGCTCCACGGGGGTAAATCGCGGTCCCTCATCCCGCGCTACCCCACCCCGCGAGTAGAGTAGGGCGGGTAGAGTACAGGACTCTACCCGCGAGTACCCTACTCTACCCTACTCCCGCGAGTCAGTGACTTTTCCTCACGGGCACTCGAAGCACTGTAAGTTTTTTTTTACGAAGAGCTGCTCTGTGTAACGTACAAAGCGGTACCAAGGATTTGGCAACTTCATAATACCGGGTGGCTGATAAACCCCGCTCACTTCTATTAGTTATGCTGTACAGCACGCACGAGTGCGGGGCGGGCTTGCCTATCGCCCTTGTCTACGGCGCCTTGCTGGCCGAGCGAGTAGGCAATCCGCCCGCACTCGTGCGTGCGGTACAGTCTAACTACAGAAGTGCGCGGGGTTAAGGGTTCATCCAGAAAGTACGTCCGTCATTCGCCATTACAAACCTACTAAGTTCAGCCCTTGCAAGCTCTCATGGCGCCTGGTAGGTAGACAATGCGATGCATACGTGTGCGGCGGGGTGGCCTACCCTGAGTCTTACAGGCGCCGAGCTTCGGTATTTTGCCGAATGAATCTGAGGAAAACGGACATACTTTCTGGATGATCCCTAATCAGCCACCTGGTACTAAGAAAAACACAACCTTTGAACTACGAAGGGTTTGGCTTACTAATACGAAGAGCAAAGTCAACAAATTAGTGCTCTTTGTAATAACGATGAAAATCGGTTCGTAGTATGGCGGTTCTAGACCTTTCGTACGTTACAAACCCAATTCTCCATACTATGCATGCTCTTCGTACGGAACTAAGAGTGGGTGCTCGCGGGGCGACGAGCGCCCAATAACAATGATAGAGGGAGGTGCTGCTGCCACTTAGAGCCGATCCTGCTCGGCAGGGCAGGTATGCATTCCCGGATGGAACCGTGCGCGAGGGTTACATATTGCATAGTACAAAAGTGCGAATCCACCACCGCAGCCTCCTTGTATTATGCGGCCACGCGTAGAACATACATCACCCGCGATAATGCAAAGGCAATCAAAATCACAAACATTTTGCGCTTGCTCATTCGGCCCAACCCCACTAACGTTGTGTCCTTCCTCGGACGTGGAGACGGCAGACCAACAGAATTATCTTATCACCCCCCTCCAGTCCCCTCCGCATATGTTTGTACGGAAGATGGACGGTGTCCTGATCGCCATAATGTTGCATCGGCTGCCCCTCGGGCCGCCGCCCCGGGAGGATGGAGATGGAGGACGCCCCGCTGCGACCGAGGGGCAATTTGGCAGCCCTCAGCAACTCGCAAAACGACGGTCGTCCATCATTGGAAACGAGATTTTCAGCCCGTCTGACCGCAAATCAGGCGACCGGCGGCGCGCACCGCGACTCCAGAACTGGATCTGGTTTTTGATCCGGGGGCATTAGCGTACATCGGGGCAGCGAAGCAGTGAAGTCGAGGGGGGGG